TCAAAAGAAACGTCTGGAGGACGAGAGAGACAAACGCATCAAAAGAAACGTCTGGAGGACGAGAGAGACAAACGCATCAAAAGAAACGTCTGGAGGACGCATCAAAAGAAAGACAAACGCATCAAAAGAAAAACGTCTGGAGGACGAGAGAGACAAACGCATCAAAAGAAACGTCTGGAGGACGAGAGACAAAGACAAACGCATCAAAAGAAACGTCTGGAGGACGAGAGAGACAAACGCATCAAAAGAAACGTCTGGAGGACGAGAGAGACAAACGCATCAAAAGAAACGTCTGGAGGACGAGAGAGACAAATCAAAAGAAACGTCAAACGCATCAAAAGAAACGTCTGGAGGACGAGAGAGACAAACGCATCAAAAGAAACGTCTGGAGGACGAGAGAGACAAACGCATCAAAAAGAAACGTCTGGAGGATCAAAAGAAACGTCTGGAGGACGAGAGAGACAAACGCATCAAAAGAAACGTCTGGAGGACGAGAGAGACAAACGCATCAAGAGAGACGTTTGGGGGTCAAGACAGACGCATTAACAGACGTGTTGGGGGCACATTAACAGAGCCTGGAAAATAAGTAGTTATTTAAGTAATGGTAAACCACAAAATATCTAAGAGAAGAAAGTACTAAGAATCTAGTGTTAGAAGACAAAAAAAAATACAGTGACATTTTCAGCTATGATAACAGAAAATACTAATTATTCTTATAAAATTTACATCAACTGACGAATTTAAATTTTTGGATATGTTGGGTAATTCAGTGCACAACTCTTTATCCAAAAGTTCTTTAGTGAAAACGTAATAGAGATCATATCGTATTTCTATCGAAATGTGCCATCTAATTGCATAATACTGTTATGCTTTTAGAGTTCGTGGTTGGCCTTCTAAACTGCTAGTCAAATATTCTGTCCTGTTATTTAAGCCACAGCTTAAGAGAAGAAATGGACCCCCAAAGATATTTGAGCGCAAGTGAATGTAATGAACCCGACAGGAATTCTCTCTTATTTGTCATTACAAGACACTGTTCATTACACCACCAACACATCAAACGAAATGTAACGTTACAGTTATTTTTATGAAGTTTTCATTTATGGTAAAAATTCTGATTGGTTAACTCGTTATCGCATTCTATTGAATAGCTACTGGAATCATATTCGCCATTACACTGATAAACTGCAGTTGATCAAGTGATAATGTTCTTGCTTAATGAATAATGAAACATTTTATATATCTGTGTGTAGTGTACTTGAGCAGCAATTCGTCTTTTACACTAATTTCATTATGGAAAACTGACAAGGTACTGCGATTATGCTATTTATTTTTTTTTGATGTTTGTATCATTGTTTTCTTTTCTGAAGAAAGTGTGTATAAATTTTGCAAGTGTTCTTTATATCCAAACGTCTCCGGCAATTTTTTTTTTAGTCATTACCAATATTGTTTTTCATTTTTTATTCGATTTTGTCCATTTTCAGATTTTTCTAGAGTGATGGGAATCATAGGATCAAACTAGAAACCTAAGAATCTATATATTCTAAAAAAAAACAAAAAAACCAGCAAACAAACAAAAAAAAACCCAAAAAAACAGCAAGATAATAGCTAATAGAAGAGGCAACGGAGCTAGGATATAAGGAACATTCAGGCAATCTTTTTACACTTCATGTCTAGTAAAGGAAACACACGAACACAAGAAAATTAAATGTAAAGCTTGAACGTAGTACAGTGTAACCCGCATGTAAGATACCCGGATATAAGAGAAACCCGGATATAAGAGAGATTCTCTGGTCCCAAATTAGAGCCTGTGTTAATGTATATAAATTAGACCAAACCCGGATATAAGAGATTTTTCTGGTCCCAAATTAGAGCCTGTGTTAATGTATATAAATTAGAGAAACCCGGATATAAGAGAGATTTTCTCTGGTCCCAAATTAGAGCCTGTGTTAATGTATATAAATTAGAGAAACCCGGATATAAGAGAGATTTTCTCTGGTCCCAAATTAGAGCCTGTGTTAATGTATATAAAATAGACCAAACCCGGATATAAGAGACTAATTCTCCGGTCCCGACAACTCTCTTATATCCGGGTTACACTGTACCTTGTCAGTCATCTTTAATGAACTGTATACATATATATTTATTTAGGCAGAAAATTCTCATTCAGTCATATCTGATTGAATAAATTACAGACATTATGTCTGCTAATTTTTAATAGAATCTTTTCATACTCACGAATATCCTTCCGTGTATTAATGTTAAAGGATGAGAAAGATGTGCTATAGCTGTTTAAATTTCTAATTTTTATTGAAATTCCTGTAAAGTAACAGCTTTTTCACGCATTAATGCGCTCGTGACTATGACATAACAGAAGAAAAAAATCCATAAAGGATTTATTCACGTTCTAATGAACGCTCAGCACATTGTCAACAGTTTTGCATTTAAAAGCATAATGAAAAACAACGCATATCTTTATATAAATACTAATACTAATGAACAACAAAAGGTTTTGTACCACTGGCACCGCTGAAGATGATCTTGGAAGAAAATCGAAAGTTCTTAGGAAATGAAAATAAAAATAATTTAAACAGCCATAGCACTTTTCTCTCATCCTTTAACATCAATAAATGGAAAGTTACTCGTGAGTATGAATGGATTTCATTAAAAATTAGCAGGCATAATGTCTGTAATTTATTCAATCAGACACAAACACATATACGCGCACACACGAATACACACATTATATATATATATATATATATATATATATATATATATATTATATACGCAGAGACAGACACACATATAAGATAGCTAAAATGAAATCTTAAGATTTCAGCGGATATTAATCGATTAATTCAATTACAATTAAAACACTTTAATAGGAATTAGGGTGTTATAATTGGTAGAAACAAGTTGAAACGGTTTTAGTTGTGATTTAACGTAAAAGTCTTCATAAAAGATCTTAATAAAAACATTCTAGTGCACCCGTAGAATCAAAATCAACGGCAAATGTAAGAAAATTTTAATAGCGATTTGCAATGAAACAAAAATCTTGAAATAACGAATTGAGATGAAATAAGACTAAGATTAAGTATTCACAACAGAAATGTAGCCAATGAAGAGAGTCTAATTAATCTGTTCTCTTTGTATATATATATATTTTTAGACTTTCAATGGTATCTGGGATTCATTGTTTACTACTGGTATTAAATAAATCGGGATCTAAATCAATATCTTTCCGTATTAAATATTAACAATAATATAACAATGGAATGGGAATACCTCTCAGAAGAAAATAAGATTCACCACAGATCGACGGCGACGAAAAAGCCTCTTTCTGGATCAAGTTGAAGCAAGATCACTTAATAGACTAAAATATTTGAGTCACTAACATGAAAGGCTTGAACAAAGAATGAAATCTAAGAATCGCCACATTAAAGGAAGTGATTAATTTAACCTTTTATTTTGCCTGGTAATTAATTTTCTCTATATGCAGATAAATATTTTATTTGTATAGATTATTAAAATGACTAAAAGGAAGTAATCACTCATACATTTGCTAAGTGAAGTTGATTGATCTCTCTTCTCATTACGGATGAAACGGGAAATATAAATAAATACCCATTGATAATTATTATATGGTTTGAGATATATATATATATATATATATATATATATATATATATATATATATATATATATATATATATATTAATGGTTTCACCAATAAAATGTTCCAAAAATAAATCAATATTTAACTTCTTATTAAGATTTGAATTTTCACAATGAAGTCAATTTCAGCTATCAAATTTCTTTCGAAATATAATACCGTGATTTTTATTCTCAAAGGAACTGATGTGTAAATCATCTACAACATTAATAAAAAGTTATTTTCTTGCGAATTTATAGGCTGGTTTATTTACATAAAAATAGGAATATAGTAGCATTGCTTGATTTTACAAAGAAACAGCCTAATAATTACATTGCCTCGCCTGTCTTCATTCAGTTTCACTACATTGCTGAATTTCTTTATACTATTTATATTGTTGCCATATTTCGGCCGTTGTGCGCCCGGCCTTCTTTTGGTGAGTAGAATTCCGAACTGAACACTTTATTTCATCCACCGGGATAGATTGTTCTATTTTCACGTGCCATGCCTCTTCAGGATGTCTCCGATATCTTCCTTTAACTCACCTTTCCAAGGTGGTCCATCCAGTGGATAAAAGCGACTTGAGACAAAGAGTTGTGTGTTCAATACCTAGCTACTTCTGTGGTTAAAAAAAATTGGTGAGTCGAATTAAAGGGAGATAACTTAGGATAGAAGATTCGGAGAGACCAAGGAAGGCAATACATTACGTGTGTGTGTGTGTATTCAATTTTAGGTAATATTCTCCAATATTCCTTTTGCACAGCGATAATGAAAATTGATTTAACTTCCTTTTTAAATAATTTAATTATTTTGTCACAAAGAACTCCTAAATTCCATACAAATGTAAAAAGCAGAATTTAATTGGAATTATATGCATACATTTTCTTTTATTTCCATCATTCAGATATTACAGGATTAAAAGCCTACATTATTATTCTTCATTAATATTTCTTAATTTCAGTTGTTTTTCATCGAAGCTAATCTAACAGCCATTTTGCCGCCATGATATGAAAAAAAAAACGGATTTAATAAACACATTCTTCTAACGTATTTCCTTTTGAATCTTCCTTACCCTTGTAGCAACTTTTACTGTTTACCTTAGAATCAACATTGCTCAAGACAAAATGTTGCCACATACCTTTGTTCCAATTAACCTTTTGAACCCGAGCGACCGGCATAACGGCCGCTGTGTGAAAGGGCATATAACTGGGCGACCGATATTCCAACCAGAGTCATGAACATTATGGGTCCGGGGTCAGAGATCCGTAATAATCGTGTGGTCATAGTTCGAAGGTTTAAAAGAACTGGAAAGATAATTATTTGGCTGGTATGGGGAATCCTCCTGCAACATCCTTAGTTGATCCAATGTCTTTATTAAATATTAGGACAACTTTTTCTCAACCGTCAATTTAGTCTGTGAGTATTGTAGAACAGACAGTTTCAATAATGAAATCATATTTTCTATGTTTTTTTTTTTTTAAATCGAGGAAAAAAAGATCCAATTATCTTCTTATACCCAACATCCCGTCTATTTATAGTTTTTTGTTTTTTTACCCCTGAATGAATTATTGATAAAATAAATAACTGCACGTAGCAAGAGAACGTATAAAAATTGTGAACAATTGCAATGTCACAGTGTGTGAAAACAGTGTACGAAAAAAAAAAAAAAATGGAGTTTCGAAACGTAGATTTGATCTTCTACACTGTTGGTTAATCGAAGTTTCATTATTGAGAATCAATCAAAGCATCTGGACGTGATAGGCATGCCAGTTACAGTGTTAGCTCGAACTAAGGTTTCACGCCTCCCCCCATCTGTGCTTTTTACTAACTACTGTAAATTTATTTTAAGGATCGCAATGAAAGGAAATTCATATTAAGTGTAAATAAATATTAACAATAAACACTGTATCTTATTAAAAAAAATATTAATCAATGCAGTAAACGTAAATGAAGAACTCAATACCCTTTTTGACAAGCATTTCTTTGATGTTAACAGATTATCTAGTAAAAATAATACAATAAATTAATCATCATTATCCTCAGCCCCCTGACCAATTGTAGTCGTAGGATAACATTTCTCTTCGATAACCTCAGATGAAACCTAGAGAGGTATTTATTCCTACAGAGGATGCCATAAGCAAATAAACCTGGCGGAAACATTCCGTCTTCACACCTCCTATTTGAAGCCCCCACCTCGTCCCTTGAACATGGACACGAGTCTTGATTCCATCCGGAGGAACCTACAGCGCCGTACACGGATTCCATCTTCAATGCAGTAGAGATATGTAAGTGGAGCCCAATATATACCATTGGGTTAGATGGTAATAACCCGAAAAGAAGGACCATCCATCCACTGCAAATTATCTTTTATAATTTTCTGGTATGAAACTATACACGTGCTACTGGAAACTATGTAACTAGGCTGCATATTCGTGTAATCAGCCACGAGACCGGTCGGCACTATCAGAGTTTTCTGGGGAGAAAGGTGGCGAGGCATCAAAGCAGACGTTGTTAGCCAATGAGACTTATGACTTCAAATTCACGTTCATATTGCAGAGAAAAAAATATGGCGATAACTTTCAAACGATCTGCTTTTTTTTTTTTTTGCGCATTTTAACCGAAACTGAAGACTGTAAAATGTAAATCTCCCACTGGGTTTCAAATTTAAAGTTAAGAATTTTTACCGACAATGTCAAACGAGTTAGAGTTTTCTGACATCGAGTGAACGGTCAGTTTACCATTGCTTTTATTTGTATAAAAACAATACAAAATTGGCAGCGAGAAAAATCGCTCAATAACTCAGAAAAATAATAATATCATAATATAGAATATCTTTCTGCATTCTTAATGTCTTTGCTATATCCAGTAATTAAAGATAGATATTATATTATTGGGGAATTCTATGTTATATTGGACAACGAATTCATGAAAAGAAGCAAAAAAGCCCAATATACTAGTCAATACATTAAACCATTTGAAATTGCTTTGGCAATCTAATATAGCAGCCATATCTTTTAGAAGATTTTTCTTCGACCTTTTTCTCTCAAATGTGTTTATGCAGATGAGTGTTTAAATAAATATAAACTGGTCCTCTATCTCATATATATATATATATATATATATATATATATATATATATATATATATATATATATATGTGTGTGTGTGTGTCGTTTACTTGAAGAGGTAACTTTCCATTTTACAAAAGCTTTCGAAATTCGATAAAAACTAGAATTTCGAATACCATTTTCAATGCAGTCACGTCCTCTTCATGAATCTATTTACTTCCTGACAATTCCACACCGCCGTGTTTGATCTGCCGCCATTATGAAACGAGCTATATATATATATATATATATATATTATATATATTTTTTTTTTTTCAGTATATTTTTCTTAATGCTGTCGGATATATATATATATATATATATATATATATATATATATATATATATATGTGTGTGTGTGTTTGAATTTATGTAATAATGTGTGGATGTGTTTTACTCATTATATACTGGAGCTAATTACCTATAACAGTCTGTTTTTTTATAACCGTGTATCTGATAGACCATTACCGAATTCACTAATACAATTATAGTCGTTAATTGGTCATCGAAATTGAATTAACCTGCAGTATTTTCTACGGGGAACGCTCCGAATGTAATGCATCCGATTTCATTTACACTAACGTATAAAATTTCCCTATTAACACCGTTGAATAGAACAGGTTTTGTTTGCAATAAACACTACATTCCCATAATCCCAGCCTCTGGCAATTCCTTTTCGTCTGCGGCGAACTAAAGTCTTGGAGCCGCACTAAGTAATCGCGTCTATTTTAGTGTATAATAAAACTCCGATCTACTGTTTCAAATTGTGATTGTTTCTTATGTGTTGATCAATACTAGTAGATACAAAGTAATAAAAAAAATTCAGTTAACCCCCTAAAAGACTGGTAGCGGGTGCTTGTCGACGCCATTTGCAATGAAAGAACTACGCATGTCTCCATTACAAAATCCGACGCTAGTTCTTTCTCTCGCGAATAACAGTATTGTTCGAGAGATGAACCCGGTTGTACTGTTAAGAAGAATTGCATACGCGCTTTACATCCGGCATATCGCCAGCGCTTTTGAGTCAGACGGGCGTCAAAGTTAGCAGTGGCGATGCGACTCTGCCAACTGTGGTTTTTCCGTTCTGATGATATTCTTTGTGCACGGCTAAGATCACTCCATTTGCAGATGAAAAGTTATAGCCCTGTTTGACTTTACTTACTATAAAATCACATACATACATACATAAGTAGATCAATACATCATTAGCTGACTTATTAGCATAATTTGAAGTTCGACAGTCCTTTGCATCATGTCTATTTTAGATAATTAATGGAAAATATTTCGATTACGTACATTGGAAAGCCAAGATTACTTTAATAGAGATGTATCTCTGGTATGCATTATTCAGTTCATGCAAATTATTCTTTGTTCATGACTAACATAAATTATATTGAAGAAAAACGTTTCTGCAAAGTACCCTCTGGCTATCATCAGATATCTTCTAATGTAATTGATAGGGCGCTCTCTCTGTGATTATCGTATTATTTCTGTCTTCTTCAAGGCGTTTTATGCTCTTGTAACAACATCGATTACTTATACGAGATACTTATATGAATATATCGACTAAGACGGTAGTATTTTTATCATCTTCTAAATAAAAATATATGCGGAAAAATGCCTTTTAAATTTTAGGTTCCAATGTTACTGATATACCTACGTAAATCGCAACTCTAAAAATATACTTGAGAATCTTTATTTTACTTGCAAATCCTAGAGTCACTTCGTAATAAGAACGCACGCGCAGACGCGAGTAAAACATTCGTTCCTTATTGAACGCGCACACTCACGTTTAGAACTTAGACAATAATACCTTCCCCAAAGACATTATCTTATTAACTAAATATTATATCTGTTTAGTTTTCTTTTCCTTATACCTTCTGCTATATGAATCCAAACCATTATGTCGATTTTTATTTCACTTTACTCCACAGCAAGCACTTTTTTTTGGGGGGGTGCTAATGGATGAGAAGCAGTAACATATTTCTCACAGCATTTCTTTGAAACCTTTGTTTGATATATGGAAACGTTTAGTATGTTGTGTCGCATTCCTACAAAATTATCCTATCATTAATTCTTCTCATGGGTGTGCCAGAAATACCTACCACGTAATGGTAAGACATTAGGTCGATGAAGACACCATCATACTTATTATAAAACCCAGGTTGTCTGTGTGTGTCCGTTTATATATTGGATCGGATTTCCTACATTTTTCAACCGATTTCAACAAAACTTCACAGGACTACGTAAAATTACCTTGTGGTGGTTCTGACAGCGACAAAAACTGGGAAAAAACACAATTTCTTTTGCACGAAATCAATTTTTAAACACGATTAAGAGGCATCGCTGTTGCGAGAATGAAAGGGAGACAACTCATATCGAGTTATATTTATTATAAAACCCAGGTTGTTTGTGCGTGTGTGTTCGTTTATATATGGGATCGGATTTCCTACATTTTTCAACCGATTTCAACAAAACTTCACTTTCTTTTTATTTTTGGCAGTTAGTGTTTATTGTCTTGCACACTTTTTTCTTTATTTTTACATTCAGAATGCATTAGAAATTCCATTTACAAGACATAATAAAATTCTCTTCAATCGGTAGACTCATAATGATTGAAAACAATGTTTTTGTTTGAGTTTGACCAATTCATAAATAAAAAACAACAACAAAAAACAAATCCAAAAACTAATTAAGACATGCGTGTCCGTCAACCTTAAACAATAATCTTTGTCAATTTTATTTTTCAGTCTTTATGATGGTCGATACTTGATCTATATCTTACTGTTACGTAACCGGGCAAAGCCGGGCTCTACTGCTAGTTGCTACTAATGGCTTGCGATTATGTGCGAAATATTTCTGGGAGGTAGACGTGGGTGATATCTCTGCCGTACCCTGTATTTTTCGGTCTTATCTTTTTCCTTTATATCCCAATACTAAGACCGTGATTCTAAAAGTCCTTAAATTTTACCCCCTCCTCATTGTGCTTTAAAAATACAATAGTCACGTATCAGGCTTTCGTGGGAAAATAAATACTTACAGTTACATACTTAAATATTACGTTTTGTAACCTGTTGGCCTATTTGAATATTTTG